TCCTATTTGCAAGAGCTCCTTCCAACCTAATTTTACATGGCCTCCGTGAAGTCCTGCCTACAAACCTTAGTGTTAAAACAAAATGAAATAACTTAAAAACTAATCCAGCACTTCTCAGCTGCTGCCTGATGCACTTTGGTCGGCCATCTTTTGTCTGCTAATTGTGTCGCTCACAAGCCAGGGCAGTGTCTCTTGTTGTTGCATGTTTAGTATCCAGCATGTGTTTAGCATTGTCACCTACATTGGTGAGTTGCTTGTTGTTGCATGTTTAGTATCCAGCATGCGTTTAGCATTATCACCTACACTGGTGAGTTTTACTGCAAAGATAACCAGCACATCTATGGAAGGCTGTGAGTAAGGATAGCAGAGACTGAAAAAGGCACAAGCCTCTGAACACAAGTTAATATTCTGTTAATCCTGGAAAGTTTCACTTGCAGCATTTCATGTCTCTGCTGCTATCTCCTGCCTGTGAGTTATGCTTATAATCTCAATACAAATATAACACACTGTGATACTTACATAGGGAGGAGACAGTTCAAGAAAATCAGGTGGTGAGCCCTGGTGTGGGGGTGTAATTTGGATGCTAAGGTTACCCTGTGATCTTGTCCTTCAATGTCTAATCATGATAGTCACAGAAGGGCTACATTCTTTTTACTAATATATTTTTAATATTCAAGTGGTGTTTGAGGTTATCTGGCTTCTGCGTTCTTTTGCATAACAATGAGAGGCTCAAACATCATCTCACTTGACTATAACTTTTAAAATGATGAAGCCAAGTTCTGCATTGTTTTTTGCATTGTGTAAATACTCTGTCTTTCTGCTTCTTGCACCCATGCACTGCTGCTTGGTTGCCACACTGTATTGTTTGCCTCTGATACTCTTAGACCCTGAATCAAGAGTCCACTTGCTTCTGTTAACTGAGCCTGGCTCTTGATAACTGGGTTAGGCCTAGCATCTTTTTAAATGGTGAGGCAAGCAAAAAATGTTTTAAAGGAATTTTAAATAGTAGGATAAATGCACAGTGGAAGCAGACTATCCTAGCTCAATGAATAATGTATGAGAGAGGTTAACCAATTTTTTGCCTTCTACAGAGAAGAGTGGCTGCTGTAGCCCCCTCTTACTGAGCCTCCAGCTTTGCAAAGCTGGAGTGACTATGTGAAGTAGGTTTCTGTGCAAATTGGTAGCCGTTCTTGGGGCTGGAAAAGGAGTTTCTGTGATAAATTGATGTACACTGATTCTCAGTGCTAAAGCATGGCCCCTAAAGGTTAAACAGCTGGAGTTCTTATTGTCCAATCACAGTTAAATGGGGAGTGAAAACACCTTGCAGGGGCACTGTGCTCTTGTTGTATTAGTGTCACCAATGCCACCTCAGCAGCACAGCAGGCACAAGCAGAAGATGAACCGGGAAGCTTAAAGCAAAACCTGCCTTATGGCCAGCAATCTGTGCTCACATTCCACTGCCAGGCTGGGGTGGAGAGAGTGCAGAAGTAGCTCTAAATAGTTTGAATTTGAATGCACCTCTAATGACCAGTCAGTCAGGTATTCTGTGACCTACATTAGCTCTCCTTGTCCTCTATAAAGAAAAGCTTTGGAGGCCTAAATTTTCAAGAGGGACTCATGATTTTGGATGTCCAGTTTGAGTTCCTTCACAAGGGTGGGAGATTTCAGAGGGGTTGCCAGACACTTCCAGAAATTCAGATGTGTTTTAAGGTGTGTGATTAGTCCCTTCTCAAAGTCTCACCTATGGATTACTGTCAGTGAATAAGATTTCCTTTCCTATTTTAACTTCAACCAATTACTGGAATTTAGTAAAAATGTCACATCTCAATTCGCTGTTAGTCTGGTACAAAGAAGGTGAAATGCTTCCAGTTCAGAATGGTTGGATGTTACATTTGGTCATTTAAACCAGAGCAAAGAGTTTAAAATAGAATCATTGGACTATAGGGGGATCTTGAAAGGACAACTAGCACTCATGGCAGGACCAAGCCATCTGCACCATCCCTAATAGGTGTTTCTCTAACCTGCTCTTAATTGTCTCTAATGATTGATACTCCATGACACACACCCCACCACCACCACCACACTCCCCAGCAATTTTATTCCAGTGCTTAACCACCTTGACAGGAAGTTTTTCCTAATCTCCAACCTAAGCCTCCCTTGACGCAATTTAGCATGGAAGATTTAGGTTGGATGTTAGGGAAAAACTGGTCTGACTTGGAAGCATTGTACACTCATGTTGCGCTGTTGTAATAGGCTGCAACCAGGGGTTGAATAATCGATATCTTAACTTCCGCTGTTGTAATAGGCTGCAACCAGGGGTTGAATAATTGATATCTTAACTCTTCTTTTTTTTATGCTTTTCATCTGTTTTCTGCTGCTTTGTATGTGCAAGCTTGATAGGATACATTGGATTTCTAGACCAGCTTGGCTTTCTGGTTCTCCTGCACTTCAGCTGTTTCGCATTGCTACCTGGCAGGGAAATGCTTTGAATGGCTGGGCAGGTTTTGTTTAATAAACCCTTAAATTTGGGTGCAGTGCAACTCTGCCCAGCAACAGAAATGCTGAATCAACCCGTGCTAAGAACAGAGCCAGAATTTGTCTGCTGCATCATGGCCTAATGCTCATGTATGAGTCACAAGAGTAGCAGGCTGGAGATGCTCCAAACCCTGTAAGTGAGAGAGAGGCTCCAAAGCTGGTTTTGGAGGAACATTTTTATTAGGAAACCTGACCTTTGGGTATGTCTTTGCTCAGGTGTTTGGCAGCTGGGTCTAGAACACAAAGCTTTATGTAATGGGGGTATCCTTGGTAAGTGCCTAGCTGGGGGCTGTGCTCTAGGTGGGCACCCAGAGGGGACTGAGCTGAGAGTGCCTGGAGCAGGAGGGAGGGAATAAATGAGGCTACCAACAGTCCCTTCTTTTTCCTGTGTGCTGAGTGCAGCAAAAAGCAGCAAGAAATATGGGGGGGGGGGAGTATAAATTA